TTCTTTTCTCCAGTAGGGTCACATGTAGAGCAGCGAGCGAGGCATGTGGAGGGCTGTGGCATGAGCCAAGGGGATGAGTCGTGGCAAGTTGGCAAGGGGAAGGGGGCAGCGGCAGCCCCGGAGCATCGCCGACTTAATTGTGATGGAGAATTCATTACAGATAAGCCAGCTTCATTTAAGCATTTTCCAGAGCTTGCCCAACCACTTTGCTATTAAGTGATTTGATCAATTTCTTATTATATTTTCTCATTAAAAAGCAGTCAGGCATAACTGACTACTCTTACAGTTTTAAAGGAAATGTAGCTAGAATGTTCTTTAAAGGACATTTCATTTTTGTCTGTATTAGTAAGAAATGAAGACCCTCATAACTGAAATACCATGAATGGTAAATTAAATGTATCAAGAAATATCTGACAAAAGACATTTAAGTGTTTTAACTGCACTGATGACAAGCCATCCCCTAATCTGTTTGACGCGATGGTTTCCAGTGAAGATCTACACCCCCTCTCTCACCCCTACACCCCTGCAGAAAACCAAACCGAACTCTGAAGCATCTGCTTTCTACTGGAAGCCATTCAAAATGAGTTACTGTGATTTGATCCACTGCATTGTAATCTTTACATTTTCGTTGCATTTATAACAAGTTAGACTAAGCAGATTTGGTGCAAGCATTTTCATTTCAAGCAGAACAGAAGGGGCCATCTTTCAAGGGTTTAGCAAGCACAGCGGGACCCACCGCGGCAGGTAGCAGCTCTGTGCAGCCGCTTGAGCTGACAGACCACCCCCGCTCCAGCTGAAGCACATAAGCTCCTTTGCAGCAGAGATTACAGCAAGTTATATAGCAGTAATGCAGCCTAATACCCCAGGGCAGGCGTCTGTGCAGGCACAGCGAGGGCTGGCCCTTGGCTTCCTCTGTGATGGAGGGCACAAGAGGAAACCTTGCCACCCGGGGCCTGGGCAGGAGCCCCTCAGTGCAGTAGGTAGGTGTGTTACCTTCCTGGAGGATGGGTCTTGAGAAACGAGACCCTAAACAGCTGAGAGAATGCCTCTGAAAGCTACTGGTTCCCATAACCTAAGTGTTGTCCTTACGAGATGGACTGTGGTGCTGGTAACTCACTAGCGTGTACATTTGACTTGGTGAACACACTGAGTAGTGAATGGAGGTGGCTGCAGGAACGCCCAGACCTCTAGGTGATCCTTCAAGGGCATGGCAAGGAGGCAAATATGATAATCATTTTGCTTAGGTCAACTGCTATGTAGATGGCCGGTGAGCGCTCTGAGCCTGCTGGTCTGGGGGGAAAGAAACCCATGTCCACTTCTGGGCTCAATCAGGGCCTAGGCTTTGATGCCTTTGTGAAATAGCAGGAAGGGGCTCAGACAGACTTTGCCTATAGGCCTCAATAACTTATCAGCAGGCCACAAAGGTGTGTTTGGGACGGGGGCGGGAATAAGATGAGACATCAAGGGTCAGAGTTCTTTCCATTATCTGAACTATTGAAGGGCCCAAGCTGCGAGTTCACAAACGCCCTCCCTGGCCCTCCCATCCCGGAGTGGAGGGAATGCGCCGCCTTCGCTCCCGAGGCCTTCCTGCTTTTGCAGCCAAGAGGGACTGTCTCAAGACCTTGTGACACATGGCCTCGCCTCCACAGAAGACCTTGGGATGCTAGGCCCACATCCATGCTCCGGTCTCATCCCAGCCTAGAACAGCAGTGCAGCGAAGGTGACCTGCCTTCTGGAAGCAAGCTGCAGATTCCCCTGGTCTGCCAGTGCTGTCTGCCCCATAAGGCTCTCCTGGTCCCACTCCAGGCAGGGCCCCTGGCATCCAAGGAGAAGGCCAGGATTCCACTGGCAACCCCTCCCCACGCACCATGGGTCATGAAGCCATGTCCATCATCTGCCCTGAGGCTCCCCATGCCCAAGAGAGAAGGAATTCCCTTTCATTTGTGTGCAAAGTTCAAAAATGTTGTCTATGCATCTATACATATACTTCTGCCTTCCTGGCCAGGACAAACTTGGTGGCTTTTTGTGGGAAGGCCTGAGTTGGCGCTGGGAGAAAGGAGCGAGGTTCTTCATGCTTTTTTGATTGTGCCCTTCTCCCCTTCTTCGGCCATACTTACACACTACAATTTTAAAATACTGTTCACAGGAGTCGACAGGAAGCAACAGTGAAAGGGTAAAGTAGGAAGCTTCCTGAGTTTCAGGGGGTAGGGATTATTTCCAGGCCCACTAGGGGCCGCAGGTCTCAGCCTGTGCAATGGCATGAGGGCTCACTGCGGAGGACAGGAGGGCATGCCTTTGGCAGGAGGCACACGTGGGTGGAGAGGGCACTGAGAGAGTAGGGCAGTGTGGTTCCCAACATGCCAGGGGACTGGCAGGAACAAGAGCCCCAGGCCCCCTTGAGGGGCTCTAGTGAGGGAGATACTGCCACATGGTCACAGGAGGTCCAGCTGTTGTCATATCCCACAGAAGGGTCCAGGGTGGCAGCAGAGTGGACAGTGGGGTGTTTCAGCTGCGTCCTGGGGAGTCAGGTTGTCCAGATGGAGGGAAAAGTGTGTGCCAGGGCCACAGACAAGGAGGCCCCACAGTCATAGGGCCCAGTGGCTGGAGGAGGTGCCCTGTAGAATGGGGGATGAGAGATGCAGGGACAGTAGCCAGGCTGAGGAGGACCCAGGTGCCAGTGGAACTGCTGAGTTTACCCTCTGGCCAAAAGAGCACCAGGTGACCGAGAAGGAGGCCAGCATGCGGAGTGCAGGCACACCACTGCCAGGATGGGGAGCCAGAGGAGGGGTCCCACCGCGTTTCTGGAAACCGAGCCTGGAAAGGAGGCAGTGCTTCCGTGAACACCAACACCGCCATCGGGAAGAGGGACAGACCTGATCAGGAGTGGGAGCAGGGAAGGAAATGGCAGGTTTAACCAAGGGTCACCGAAATGCTGGATGAACACTCAAACGTGTCACTCAACCACATCCCCAAATCCCCCCCGTCTGTTACTATGGTAAATAGGAAAGAATTTATAATACTTTGTCATTAAGGTGCATTATTACGCTCTTCCTTACCGAAGAATAAAAATGTCTCTGCTTTTTCTCCAAGAAAAAACTAAACACTCCCACAGAGTAAATGGCAATTAGGCTGAATTACGGCAATTCTTTCTGTGAGTGCAATGTCATTATGCTGGGACTTAACTGTCATTACACTGTAAATATACCTGTCCTGGGGGCAATGCTTGTCCACACCAGCTTGCTACCTTGGCATCAAAGATCTCACTTCTTTTGATCCTTGGGTTATACTGCAACTGTGCTGATTTATCCTCTAGCTAGATTGATCCCGGAACCCCGAATTGTGCCGCAGCACCACGCGGGGCACTTGTTAAAATGCAGATTCTGTGGGGCCTAGGAGGGGACATTTCTATCAAGGAGCCAGATGGGGCCTGGGCCTGGTTTGAAGACCTTTGTTTTGGAGAACATGGAGTCAGCGAGTTGATGAGGAACAAACAAAGGACGAGTTCATTTGAGGAAAAAACAGAAGGAAGCACTTGAATCTGGGTTTCGTTTCACTCCCAAACTGCAGTCCACAGAAGTATTTCCCTCAAATAACTTGAAAAACTTTATGAATCGTGTTTAAGTTTTTTACTCTCCAAATGTAATACAATTCTTCAGCTAAAACAGGAATAATGAGACAAAATGGTTCTGAAAAGTACAATAGAAAAATATTGTTCACTGGTTTATTTTTCCAAATGAGCATCAGGCTATTTACAAATACGCAGATCTCCAATGATGTGTATTAAAATGGCAAGTCTATCACTGTTTGAAATCTAAATGAAAAAAAAAATTTATTAAGGCACATTTGATCTGAGAGTTTAAAAAACTAACTTTCTGGTATAATGACAGATTGATTTCACTTTTGTCCCCAAAACACATAAGCACCAAAATTGTCAAAGAACACTTAATATTTAGTAAAACAGTAAGGAATATAAAAATTAAGGAGAGGAAAAATCGTTTCCAAAAGGAAATCTTTGGAGATCGGTTTACTGCAAATAAAAGACTAAACACACTCCTGATACACATAAATAATACTAACAGGTACTTACGAAATGGCAGAGCTCTGAACAACAGATATTAAATAAATTAAAGGTATTTCAGATATAAAGGATCAAACAAAACAGTAATGAAAGAATGAAAACCATCTCCACCCACATAACACAGACAGGATGAAAGGAACAAAACCAAATAGGTTTTTCCCCAATGTTTTCATTAGGGGGTATGTGTGTGTGTTTCAGTTTGTGTACATCATCAGATTTATTGTAATAATTCATCTTTGTCATTCTAAACATTAATATTATACCCTTTAAAGAGAAGGGTCAAGAAGAGAAAATGCCAAATCCTTCTTGAAATTTCATGCCAGGTCCATTTAGGCCAAATGAACTACCACGAGAACGGCCACATATCTCACTGTGCTTTCTTTATGCCCCTTGTTTTAAAACCTACGTGGCCAGCTGGGCGTGGTGGCTCACCCCTAGCACTGTGGGAGGCCCAGGTGGGTGGACTGCCAGAGGTCAGGAGTTCGTGACCAGTATGGCTAACATGGTGAAACTCCGTGTCTACTGAAAATACAAAAAATTTAGCCGGGCGTGGTGGTATGTGCCTGTAATCCCAGCTACTCGGGAGGCAGAGGCAGAGGAATTGCTTGAACCAGGGAGGTGGAGGTTAAAGTGAGCCGAGATTGTGCCACTGCACTCCAGCCTGGGAGACAGACCGAGACTCTGTCTCAAAAAAATAAAAATAAAAAATAAAATAAAACAACCAACCAACCATACAAAAACCCAAAAACCTACGTGGCCATGCTGAGCAGAGTACCATTGAGGGGAAATGATCAACTCTGGAAAGCTCTCCCGAAGACAATGATGAAACAGCTATTATCACATTTCCTTATCTTACAACTGGAACATGAAATGGCTTTAAAACAATTGTAAAAAAAAAACCCAAAAAACAAAAAACAAAAGGTAGAATCTGTGGAATGTTAACAATCACAACAGAACATTTACCAGAGTTACAGTGTTTTGTTACAATAATACTTTGCAGGAATGTTCACGTTTTCTGCCATAGGACTGGCGCAAAGGGTCTCAAAAGAAAACATTTCTTTAAAAAAGTTTTGTTCACCAGGTACATTTCAAGTCAGAGTTAAGCAGGTCTGCTACATAATGTTCAGCAAGAAGATGTGTTCAAAGGCAAACACTGATCACATTCTTGTTCAGAAAGCTCAATCTTAAAGGAGTCCTATGTAAGAAAACCACTTGTAAAATATACCCTTGTATACGGACTTCAAAAACTGATCATACAAAAAATTTTTGAAAAATAAATTAGATAATTAAAAATGTCTTTTCCAGCAATGCTGGACATTAGGCTGTCCTCACTGAGCCATTATTATTGCTGCTTTTACTGTAACTTGGATCATTTTTTTCTAGCCACATCTCAGCCAGCTGCTGTGTGGACCCATAGGTCGATGCTTTGGAACCCAAGCACATTTTGTACTGTTTGGGGTCAAGATTGGGATCACAAAAGACAGGATGGTGGACGTGGACTACTCCTACTTCTTGGCTCCTAAACGTCTTCAAACCTGCCTGGACAACCTTGTTGAAAAGGTCCACATCCTCCAGCCCCCAGCCTTGGATGGAAACATCAAAGCCGCCCGCTCGGACAAGATCTCCCTTATAAATACACGTGATGCCAAACCCATAGTTTCTCCAGAAGCCAGTTTTCTGAGTAAAGGCAAAATGGTTGTCACTGGGAACTTTCCCACTATAAACAATCTTTGGGTCATACTGGCTGAAGATGATTGGAAAATATATTTGTTGGCCCAGAACTGTATTTGCTCGACATCGCTGAAGGAATTCTGTAGTAAATACGAGGTCGACGTCGCAGAAGAAGAGCAAAGATTCATTGTTAAACTGCGAAGATCCTACCTCCAGGGCCAGGGCTCTTGAAAACTCTCCAGACACAGGCAAAATCTGCATGTCGGCTTTAGGATACTTAATGCGGTAATCTCTCATCAGTTCAACTTGTTTGGCCTTGTCGGGGTTGGAGTCAGAATTGAAAAGCAGAACCACGAGCTTGACGTTCTGATTGGGGATAAGACATGTCTTCTCAAAGTTTCCCATAAATCTCACAAACATGTCGAAACGCCCAGACAAAGGAATCAGTATGTTTATCTTTTTATCTTTGGGTTCTTTGTGCTCATTCTTCGACCCAGGGAGCTGAAAGGGGACAAGCTTCTTCAGGGAGTTTGAGAGAAAGGACAAGGATCCAGATTCCTGATTGATTCTCTTGGCCAACTCCTGTGCATCCAGCTCCTCATGCTCCACAAACTGGATCTTGCTGAAAGTCTGCTGTAAATACGCATGCCTTCTCACAGGGACTGTCATTTTCTTCCCTTTGTGCTTTTTGTACAGAAGCAGCAGGTCCAGGATGTACTCAGCCCCGTACATGGGGTTCACCCGGCGGTAGCCGTACTGGATCTCCTTGAAGTCAATGATGCGCCCTCTGGTCTTGGCGTTGGCATTGATCATCTCCATGACCTGCATGACAATGTCGTCCAAGGCTTCCCTCTGAGCGGAATCCATTCCTCTTCGAGGGGGCTGGCCGTCAACTGCCGAATACAAGTATTTTCCAGTCAGAAACTCCCATTCCAGAATCTCCTCTCGCTGGCGGGGCTGAAACCTCATGAAGGAGGGCGGGATTCCCAGCTGGAGGTCCTCTTTATGAATTTCTGTGTTGCTGTATTTGCTCATCAGGACAATCTCGCGGTGCAGCTGTATTGTGCGATGGCGGAGCTCGGCGATCTTGCGGCTGAGCATGTAGCTGTGGAGCCTGTACTGGTACGGTGGGTTTTTGTTGGGGTGTAATGTGATAGCTTGGTGAATTTTACTGTTATGGAGATCTCTAATGTACCCCTTTTTGTTCTGTTCATAATTCTCATAAAAAAGCTGCTGCATCTGTTACGGGAAAAAAAGAGATCACAAATTTAGTATTCTATGATTGAGTGCCAGCACATGCTAAAGAAAACGCAAATATTAGAAATGTTTCTGAATGGACCACAGCACACAAAAGGCCCTAGATAAGGCCCAGTCAACAGCAGCCCAATGTGGTTAGAAGAATTCATACATAGAAACTGCTTAAGAAAATAAGGGTTAATAACCAAAGTTGGCCAATATAATTTTACAGGCAAACAGAGTGATGAAAAAGTTGTCCCATAATGAAAAGGTATAAAATTGAGATCACGGTGCCACCACATGAGCATGCCTGAAAGATAATGCCACCCCCGTCCCACTATGCCTGTGAAAGGGGCCCACAGAGTCATGCGTCCCTGGCTGAAGACCTGAATAGCAAACTCTGCGGCTTCTATCTATGGGAATAAACTTCCTCCTGAGAGCCAGAAGAACTCCAGGCAAACAACCTGAGTGAACGGTTACCCTTCTTCCAGGGAGCTAAGGGAAAGGAAAGCCAATCAGGGCAGGAGGAGGCCTGGCCCTGCAAGGACGCTGTCAGGATGAAACAAGGCTCTGTGAAGTCTCTGGAAGGAAGCACTGAAAACCCTCTTCACGCTGCTGGCCTCCCTGTGTACGAGGAAGGTGCCCCTCTCCCAGGGCTTCTGTGGAGGCAGGAGCGGGCCTGCTTGCTCAGCATGGGGTCTCTGGCACAAGCACAGAGCTTGGTGCCTGGGGGCTCAGAAAATGCTGGCAAATGGGAAACAGGCAGGATGCACAGGGCTCACTATTCCACCAACTCTGCCTCCGCCCCGTGGCGCAGGTTTTGGGACACCATAAGCTTATGGGCCATCAGCCAAAATGGGTTCCCTCAAGTCAGGAAGGGAATGTGCCTGATGCCTCAGTACATCTGAGCAAGGAGATGAACATTTTTACAAAGCCTGTTGGAAGGTAGAATAATAGTTTGCAAAAAATGTTCAGTGAAAGCATTTGATGTTGGTATCCGGTAAATTAGTCCTGTTTCAAGTTCATGGTGGTTTTTTGTTCATACTGTTAAACACTAACTCTTGATAAGGGATGATGTGGATTCTGGCGGACTGGTTTATTTGCCTTCCTGAGCCACTGCAACTACCATAATAGTAGAGAAATATAAATTGGCACTTTAATACCTTATTTCTTTTTCTCATAAAGTAAAAAGAAAACAGGGAGCCAGCATGCCTGCCAGGCCCCGCACAGAGCTGGGGTCCGAGGAGTGCTGACCTTTACCTCCTGGACACCTGTGAGTCTGGTCTTAGAGCAAGAATTAGAGCGGAATTACAGGTCCTCCAAAGTGCTGCCGCTGTTTCCAACTTTCCTTCCCACACTGCTTATGCTTCCCACATGGGAGGTGCACACATGGACTTACCACTGAAATCCCTGCCCCACTGTACAATTAATTAGAAAAGGTGGTCAGGTTTTCTACAGGGGTGGGAAGCAGGGCCTCCCTAGGCTAGGAGGAGAAACTCCAACTCTGACCCCCATGCAGCACACAGGGCACACTTTATATGGAATTTTACATGCCTCTTCTGCTACCTACTCTCAACTTTACTATCAACTACAGGAAAGCAAATCTCAAACTCTTGTTTTAAGTAAACTGAAGCAAAGAAATAACCTGGGGCTTGCTGAGAGAAGGCAGTAAGCAACTGGCGCCAGAATTCCTTCAAGTCCTGGATGGGCGGGCCAGATACAAACAACATGAAGATATAGGCCCTGCCACCAGGCTTGGATTAACCACGTTAACTTATTTTTTTTTTTACTTTGCTTCTTCTGTGGGTCACAACAAAAGAAGCCTTATCAACTTCCTGCCCAAAGCATCCTTACTGTTCACTTTCCAGCTGGGCTGATTCTTGGGTACAAACAGCAGGGCTATAAGGTGGCAAATGTAGTATGAGGACTCAAAGAGAAGAAAGGTTTAGAAAGATTTGTTGCAGGCTCTAAAACCTTGAAGCAGCTATTGGTCCCTTGTTCAGGGACTGCCACAGGCCTGCACCACTGCAAGCCCAGGTCCAGAAGTCTTTTCTGGATACCATAGATACCTAGAGTCTGCCAACAAAAACATCAACCAAAAAGCTGGATCGTTACAGCAAAGATACTAGTTTTAAAAACCTCAGCTACACAGCTTCTGGTCAGCTTCTCAATGCTTCACTCTTAAATGAGAATCAACAGTCAAGGATCATCAGGCAGCTGAAAAAGTGTTCCAAATGGGAATGATGGAAACAAAACAAAAGCAAAAAACCTTGGTGGAACAGAAACAACGCAGTGAACAGAAGAAAAACTCAAAAACAACAACGAAAAGCTACAATATAGTCAAAGGGAAGATAGTGCATCCATGCAACCAAAACAGAAAACTATAAACATGAAAAATCAGAGGAAAAAACCCTCGAAACCAAACACAAAACAGCGAAACAAAGGAGTAGAGTTTGAAGATAAAATTGAAAAAATCCCTAGAAGATCATTAACGATTAAAAAAAAAAAAAGACAACAGGAGAGAAAAGTAATCATTCTAGGAACAAAAAGCACATAGGAGGGAAAACAACAATATAAAAAATGGATCCAGAATTAAGGGAGTCAGGTGCCTGGGTTAAACTCTAGGTATCCAGTACAAAAAGTACAGTATAAAAACTACAGGATAAAGCAATCTGAAAAGTTCCAAAGAGGAGGAAAAAGGGCATATACAAATAATCAGAAATGGAAATGGCACCGGACACAGATAACATCACCGGAAGCTGAAGAACAACAATGCCTTCAAAAGTGGGAGGAGTGGAAAATTATTCTCAGTGTAGAATTCTCTTCCCAAACTATCCATCAAGTGAGTAGAGGGAAAGATGTTCAGATACTCAGGACTCAATTTTACCTTGCATTCATTCCATACCAGGAAGCTATTAAATGATGTGTTCCTCTAAAGCGAGGAAAGAAACCTGTAAAGAAGATGACAGGATCCAGGAAACAAGATGCATGGGCCAGAATGACCGTGCAAGGAGGTACCACACGGACAGCCCTGCGGCAGCTGCGGGAACATATGCAACCAAGGGAGGGCATGGGTGCTCACTGCCTCCATCTCCAGAGCCCAACTCAGTGCTTGATACATCGAGTTCATAACAAGTGAGGTCTTTAAGCAGAGCAAGTACGGAGAGATTGTTGAATGACATCAAAAGGAAACAGCCGATGAGGACAGACACGGTATCTTATACATGGTAAGAAGCATACAAGGACAAGGCTGGGCTCCTCTGACCAGGATGTGTTTTAAAATGCAAAAATCAGTAGCATATTTAAAGAGAAAATATATACTACTCTGGAGAGATGATGTAGTGGTCACCTGTTTTTACTCCCTAGACCAAATATGACTGCACACTTTATTCCTGGCTGTCCACACCCCACATAGGGAGGGCGGGTCCCCATGGGAGGCCTCTACATGACTGATTACTTCTCACAGACCCACTAGGACACCACATCCCCACACATTTTCAGGAATCCATTTCTCAAAATGTTTTAGAAGCTGCCTATGGTCGTTACTTTCACAGAGTGTGTGTGCTAAGGGGGTAAACATGGAGAAAAGTATTGACTAACAGGCTGGTAGAAGCTGTAAAACAGACTGAGGGTTTTAAACTACAGTAAAAGGTGCTGTAAGTACCTTCTGGCTAAACTCTAAAAGTTTGAAATAAATGAGTTATATATATCCTTTTTTTTTTTGAGACAGGGTCTCCTTCTGTCACCTAGGCTGGAGTGCAGTGGTGTGATCTCAGCTCACTGCAACCTCCACCTCCCAGGGAGCTGGAACTACAGGCATGCACCACCACATACAGCTAATTTTTGTATTTTTTTGTAGAGATGGAGTTTCACCAGGTTGCCCAGGCTGGTCTTGAATTCCTGGGTTCAAATAATCTGCTTGCCTCGGCCTCCCAAAGTCCTGGGATTACAGACGTGAGCCACCAAGCCCGACCATTTTCTTTTTTTAATGAAGAAGAAATCTGTTATAAGATTAAAAGGTGTGTGTGAGTGGTGCGCATGCACATATGCTTGGGGGAGGGAGCACCTGAGAGAAAGTGAACATAAAATAAAGCCAAGTCTATGCCCAGACTGCCTGGTGGCCCCTGCTCTGTCCCAGAGGATTTACTTTCATTAATTTATTACATTTATTAATGTTGCTACGATACATAAACAATTCAGACAAAGAAGTTCCTACCTGATAGACTGGGTAGAACACATACCTGTAATGATCTTTAAAAAAAAATCTAAACTGACGTCAAGGAAATAGCTCACATTCTAAAAGAGGTTGATGCAGGTTTAAGCAACAGGTGAGCAGACACTCTGTCACAGGTAAGGACAAACACCTCCACCTTAACCAAGACCTGCCCAAATGGGCTTCGGATGGTGCCCTTCAGCCAATTTCTGTACAAAGCCTTGTAAATGGCTTTGGTGTAGAGGTAGGGAAACATTTTCTTGTTACCCTCAGTGTGTAGAATGGGAGAAGGAGAGGCAGAAATCAAATATGCTGTCTTTAGAGCTCTTTAAGAACAGGAAATGTGAAGTATAATTCAAAGCAAAAATGTCAATGAGATATTAAAGTCAGGTTAGGAAAGAAATCCATACATCATCTGTGATTTCTGAATGGAGCAGGAAGGAAAACCTAGAGAAGCTCTGACCCACCCACCAGGCTCCAGGGCCATGGGGCCTCCAGGCCAGGCCTTGCTCTGAGGGTGAACACCCCCCATGAAGCACCCTCTATCACCCTTCCCATTCTTCCCAGGTGCCCCTCCCATGTGACCACATCAAGAGATCTCAGTGCTTCTGGATGGAATCTTTGCCTCTGTGGCACTGCGGCCATCTGTATTGAACTTTGGAATACCCTGCAAGGTTCTCCTTGAAATATCTTGTTTTTTTTTTTTTTTTTTTCCTCACCAAGTTTCCAGTTTCTCTGCTGTGATTTGGGTTTTCCCTACTTCCTACCTTTTATTTTTCTTTGAGGATGC